AACCCGCTTACGCCAACCTCCGCGACTCGTTCCGATACGCGTTTCCCGCATGATCAAGATGGGTGCTGCTCAACAACTACATCGAAGGGCTCAGGGGCTTCGGCCCCCACACCCCAGTCTCTTGACGGAGCGGCGCGCGTCCATTGACTATTTATCGTTCGCGCGACCCGCCAAGGAAGAGCAAGGTATGCATGAGACCAATTTGTAGACAAAAGCAGTGTTTAGGGTTTAAAGTCAAATACACCCGTTTGCCCATTAGCCAAAAGGCCGAGAAGGTATGATTACCGGTGGGAAACCTAATTTCACCATCTCTACGAAAAAACCACGCAGTGGTTTTTTCGAGACGGATGGTGCAGATCCCTTGCTGTAGGGGGGCAACGCTCTGGAATATTAGGTACGATTTCAGTCGTTTCCGAGTGTCTTTTTTAAATGCGGCCCGACAGAGTACGCAAAAATCGCGATAAAGTGCGCAAAAATCCGCACCTTTTTATGTAATTCTGCTGATCCGCGCCGCGTTATCTTTCCTTCCAATACACAAAACAAGATACAAATTTTAGAAAATATCACCACATGGCGCGTGGTTTTCGCCGTGTGGGCGATGTGAAAAATAGTTTCCCACACAAAGTCCTGGCTTGGCTTTTTCCATAAAGAAGTACATACTTGGTCATGGCAATTCATGCACGCTATTGCGGATAGCAGCGTTCACGTCCAATGGAATCTGGGCACGGCCACCTGGATCCGGATAATAGGGAAAGGCCTCCCGAGGATTCCAAGGAAAGCTCCTCGATGGTACCAGGCTGTTGCCGACGTCGCAGCAGATACTGTAATCATGCCCTTACGTCTTAGCCAAAAGGCCGTGGGTGCAAGCGAATCAATGCACAAAGCGTGCGCAGGATAGCGATGATGTAGCATCCATGCGTTGCGACTCTTGGCGGCAAGCGCGCTCCAGTGGCAGCCGTCGTCACTTACCGCCCATGTCCGTCATAAAGCTCTACGAAGCTGTCCTGGATGAGCTCGCAACTCCTCATGAGCATGGCTTCACACACCACGCGGACGCCTTTACGCACCCAGAGCTGTCTATCGACGGCCTGGACGAGCTGCTGACGTGGCCGCTCAGCGACGCCCAAGCGGCGACGCTCGCCGCGCTCTACGGCCACGACGCGACGACTACGGTCGTGCCATGCGAAGCGATCTCGGTCGACTCCGAGCCGGTGCATCTATACGCACCAGACTCGTATTACGAAGCGGTCCAGGACAAGCTGGCGCCGAGCGAGTGGCATGGCCGTCATGAGCTCGCGCACCTCGTCATTCACGCTGCTGGTAGCACCGACACGAGCAGCTTCTTGCAGCCATGCGTCGAGGACGGCCATGTGTTTGGTCGGCTCATTGTGCTTTTACCGTCGTACTGCGTCGGCGGCCACGTCTCGCTCACGTACACCGACGAGGACGAGGCATGGGCCGTGGCCACGGCCGCGCGGCCGCCGACCGGCCTCTCTTTTGCCGCATCTGCCTCGTTCCTCTCGACGACCGTGGCATCGGGCCCCATCGATGACGGACGGCGCGTCGCGCTCGTGTACCATCTCATGAACGAGCATCCGACGCCGGACGACCTTTTCGCCGCGGCGCCGCCCAACATAGCGTACGCGGCCCGCTCCTTGTGCGCGGTGGCTCAGAATCCTTTTTTGACCACCGGGCGCGTTGTCTACTGTCTGGAGCACGACGTACCGTTCTCGAACGCCGGCTTCGAGACCCTCGCGATGGCCGACGCCGCGTTTGTTCGGGCGCTAAACACGTCCAAGTGCTACGACTTCGTGCTCGCCACGGGCTACTATCCCCTCATGTCGTCCGTCCTCGCGCCAGACGGCGCCGACATCCCCGAAGCGGTTCTCGAAGGCGCACTCGGGCTGGTCCACCCAGTCCTTCGCCAGCCCAATTCTCGAAAGCACGCGGTGCTTGCGTTCTGGCCCAAGTCGCACCGGCTGCGGCTCATCGGCATCCAGTCGGCGGTCGCCGCCGTCGAAGCCGTCCTGCGCGACGAGGCCGGAACGTCGCAGCACGACGAGGCCGGAACGTCGCAGCACGACGAGGCCGACACATGGTTCCTTGGGTATCCCACCAAGGAAGTGCTTGTCTGGGCGCTCGTCACCATGGTCGGGTCGCATACGGACGTCGGATCCAAGTACCATTGGGACGGCGTCGGGCTGTCGTCGTCGCGTGACAATCCGATGCTGAGCTCGACTTGGTACGACAACAATGCCGACAATGCCCCTATGACCGCGCGCCTTCTTGCCATCGTGCTTGCCGTGGACGCTTTTCGCTTCGTCGAGGTCTTCATTGGCTGCATGATGGAGAGCGAAGTCTAAGATGAAGCGCATCTGGCAGCCCTTTTATGCGTGTATTGAACGCTATGGCTGGGACG